ATTACGCCACATCCTTCTGTGAGTGTTGCGAGGCCAGCGGCGTCTTGTGTGAGGGTGCGATGTCGCGCGCGGGTGGTGGCAGATACGTAGGGGGTCCAAATGTTTGCGTGATGCCGGTGGTCTGGGGCGTGTTTTGCGAGCGCCTTGCGTGCTGTGCACCCGGGTGCGGGGTGTCCTTCTGGGAGGTCGGCCCTTCGACCCGCAGCCAAGTGGAGGACCACCGGAAGACGACAGGAGCAAGAGTGGTGTGCGGAAGCTGTGATCAGCGAGGCATCGCCGCGAAAGATGTGGCAGATGAGTCGAAGCGGGTGAAGAGGCTGTTGACGTTCGCAGCGCGCACGGAACAGTTGGCGCGGCAGCAGCACATTAGCGCCGAGCAAGATAGTGAGCATTTCACGAGGAAGAGCAAGGCTGTATGCGCGGAGTGCATTGCAGTTGGCTTCGCGGCTCGCAACACGGAAGCGTCTGGGGGTCTTTGGGGGGCCTCCTGGGGGCCTCTTGGGGGCTCTTTGGGGCGTCTTGGCGGCCTCTTGGGGGCCTCTGGCGGCCTCTTGGGGCATCCTTGGGGGCTCGTGGGGGCGGAAAGCTAGATTTTTGAATTTTTGGTTGCCCTCTTAGGCCCCTCTTGGTGCCGTCTTGGAGCCTTCTTGGGCCGTCTTGGGGACCTCTTGGGCCGTCTCGGGCCATCTTGGGCCGTCGTGGGGCCGTCTTGGGGGCCTCTTGGGCCGTCTTGGGGCGGTCTTCGGGGCCTCTTGGGCCGTCTTGGAGCGTCGGAAAGCCCACGGGGCGAATTTGTGAAACATGTACGTTTCACGAAGGAAATGAGCACATTGCTGCGTCTAGGGACCCTCTTGGGACGTATCTTGGAGGCCTCTTGGGGGCGCCTTGGGCCATCTGGAGGCCATCTCGGGTGTCTTCGATCGCTCTTGGACCGTCTGGGACCATGTTGAGCTCTCTTGGAAGCACTTGGAGCGCTCCTGGAGCGCTCTTGGGGCCGTCTTCGGGGCTCTCTTGGGCCGTCTTCGGCGCCTCTTGAGCCGTCTTGGGGCCCTCTTGGGCTGTCTTGGGGCCCTCTTGGAGGCTTCTTGGACCGTCTTGGGGCGGTCTCGGGGGCCTCTTGGGCCGTCTGGGAGCGTCGGAAAGCCCAAAAAGCGAATGTGTGAAAATTATACGTTTTACGATGGGGGCGGGCCAATTTTTGCGTTTAGAGGTCCTCTTGGGACGCATCTTGGGTGCCTCTTGGAGCCTCTTGGGGGCATCTTGGGCCGTCTGGAGGTCATCTTCGGTGTCTTTGATCGCTCTTGGACCGTGTGGGACCATATTGAGCTCTCTTGGAGGCCAGTTGGAGCGCGCCTGGAGCGCTCTTGGGGCCGTCTTCGGGGCCCTCTTGGGCCGTCTTTGACGCCTGTTGGGCCGTTATGGGGCCCTCTTGGGCTATCTTGGGGCCCTCTTGGAGGCTTCTTGGGCCGTCTTGGGGCTGTATTGGGGGCCTCTTGGGCCGTCTGGGAGCATCGGAAAGCCCAGAAGGCGAAATTGTGAACATCATACGTTTTACGAAGGGAATGGGCCCATTTTTGCGTCTAGGGACTTTCTTGGGACGCATCATGGACGCCTCTTGGGCCGTTTTGGAGGTCTCTTTGCTTGTCTTGGAGTCACCTAGGTCGTCTTGGACCGCTCGTTTACTCAAGGCCTTCTTGGACCGTCTCGGAGACCCCTTGGTGCGCTCTTGGCCTGTTTTTGGGCCCTCTGCTCCCCCTTGGCGCGTTCGGCGGGGGGTCGTGGTAGGCGAGGGGGGGGGTCAAATCTCCGGTTTCGGGTCCCTGGGGGGGGGGGTATGGGGGGGGGAATTATTTCACACGCCTAGAGACCCACAAGGGGTCGGCGGATTTCGCTTGTCCATCGGTTGCGCTGGTCGACCCAGGCTCGTCGGCCGCCCCTCGGCCGCTCGGTCCTTCGGCTGGCCCGTTCCCAGGCTAGGTTTGGTTGTTTTGGTTTGTTTTCGCTTGTCCATCGGTTGCGCTGGTCGCCCCAGGCTCGTCGGCCGCCCCCGGTCGCTCGGCCCCTCGGCTGGCCCGTTCCCTGGCTGGTTTTGGTTGTTTTGGCTTGTTTCCGCTTGTCCATCAGCTGCTCTGGTCGCCCCGACGAGGAGGAGGAGTGGCCACCAGAGGTCCTCCGTAGGTCCCCTTCTGTGCCGTCCCTGGAGTTAGCCTCGGGAGGCCTCTGGAGCTTCAGCAGAAGCAAAACATCTGAAGACCTCGATCCCAGATCTCTCCTGAGATCCTGGCGCTGCGTTTTTTTCCGCATCTGTAGTTTTCGCCCGGTTTCGGGCCCTGAGGCCCTCACAGAGCGATGCGGCTCGAATATTGCTGCCGAAAGATGGTGTCCAGGGCTGTGGTGGTACTTCCATTAGATGTTGCAAGTTTTTGGCAGCGTCGGATCTGAGGGTCCGACGATCTGGCTTTCCCAGCTGGTGCGTGTTTCCTATGTGTATTCGGCTTGTGCGGCCCGCTGCCGGGCCCCAGGGCCATCGGAAATGGATCTGGGCAGGACGTCCCCAGTGCCCCGACGTCATCATCTGTCAGAATGTCGACCCTGCTGTCAACCCGCATAGTAAGGATGAGCGACTTTCCAAGGCTGCCCTTGCATCCTTGCCCCTTCGGCCCATCCTTAGCGACTTTCGCTGACCAGCCTTGTTCGAAAAAAGTTCACGTGGCCCTCCAAGGCCCTTGCATCCTTACCGCGCATCCTTATCGTACGGGTTGACTGTAGCAGGTCTCGACCCATTCCCCGGGACCGGCTTTTGCTCTTCAGCCGATTCTTCTTGTCCCGAGGTCCGGTGAAGGGCTCCCAGTGGCAGCAAATTAGCGAAACGCATGCTCGTTGTCAGAACCGTGCCTGGACGGCACATCGGTTGCAGTGCGCAGCTGCTGCACGCACGACGTATGGCGCAGCGGCGTGTCCATCAGCAGCCCCGAAGGAGGAGGAGGAGGAGGAGGAGGAGGAGGAGGAGGAGGAGGAGGAGGAGGAGGAGGAGGAGGAGGAGGAGGAGGAGGAGGAGGAGGAGGAGGAGGAGGAGGAGGAGGAGGAGGAGGAGGAGGAGGAGGAGGAGGAGGAGGAGGAGGAGGAGGAGGGGAGGGGGTCTGGGTCTGGGGCCGCACAGGGACCAAAAAAACACGTCGTCGGATCTCTGGGACCCTGGATCCCTGGGACCCTGCCCTGGACGGCGGGCAGCCGCAGGCGCAGCCGCAGCAGCCTTCTTGGCGGCACTCTCGATCCGTGGACCTCGAAGCGCGCTCCTCGGTCCTCGGTCGGCCCTCGATCCTTGATCCTCGATCCTCGGCGCATCTCCGAAGACTGCGCTTCGCGATCCTCGGTCAGCCCTCAATCCTCGATCCTCGGCGCATCTCCGAAGACCTCGCTTCGCGATCCTCGGTCCTCGGTCGGCCCTCGATCGATCCTTGCTCGGCCCTTGGTCCTCGCTCTCTCGACGCGACCGCGCCAGGCCGCTGGCGCTGCCGCCCTCGACGCCGCCCGCGATGGCAGGCGGGAGCGGACGGCCTCCGGCCCCCGCAGGGGAGAGAGGAGGACGGCAGGCTTCCTCGGGGACGGCCGGCGTGAGGACAAGGAGGGGTACGACAAGGAGGAGGTGGAGGAGGAGGAGGAGGAGGAGGAGGAGGAGGAGGAGGAGGAGGAGGAGGAGGGAGGGAGGGAGGGAGGGAGGAGGAGGAGGAGCCAGGCCCCCGACGTCATGATTTGGACGGCCTCAGCAAGCCACCGGGGGCGGACACCGCTCGGGTCCCCTGGGCCCGGCGCGGGAAGACCACGCTGCTGCACGCGCGGCCTCGCTTCGAGGGCTCTGGGGCGAGAGCGGCCGGCGAGCGGACCCGGGGGTCGCAGGGCTCATTGGGCTTCCTCCTCGGGGAGCGCTCGGGAGCGCCTGGGAGCGCCTGGGAAGGCTTGGGAGCGCCGGGGTGCGCCTGGAAGCGCGTGGGGAGCTCCTGCGAGCGCCGAGGAGAGCTGGGGAGCGCTTGGGAGCGCCGGGGAGCGCTTGGCAGCGCTTGGGGGCGCCTGGGAACGCGTGGAGCCTATACGTTACCAGCGGCGGGCCGTTTTTCGATCCCAGAACTTTTGAGGGTCGGGGGCGACGTCAGGGTGGTGTGGTGTGTACCTTTTTCCCTGCTTTTCTGGGGAAGCAGCGAAAAAGGTCTACACCAGGATCCCGTATACACCAGGATCCGCTTTCCTGTGCAAGTTTCAGTGCAGGGTCGGAAGAAGCGTCGGTATAATCATAGAGTTCGTTTCCCTACCTCCGGCTCGATCCGATTCCGATTGCGATCGTCGAATCGGAACTCGAGGTGGGCTGCCGTTTCTCTACGGGAGGCTTGACTAGCCTGCCGATTTCCGCCGATTCGACTTCTCCCGATGTTGCTGCCGATTTCCGCGATCCGATTCATGCCGAGCGCCGATGCGACTCATATCGATCCGATTCTGGGCTCTTCTGGGGTCGGCGGCGAGCAGGCGGGGGGGTAACAAGAAGGGGCTGGCCTTCTCAGAAGGCGGCGGGGCTTCTCGGAAGCCCTCGCGCCTTCCGAGAAGTGTTTTTGATGGGCATGTTTTCCACCACCACCATACTTTGGAGGGGGTAAGGAGGTGGAGGAGGAGGAGGAGGAGGAGGAGGAGGAGGAGGAGGAGGAGGAGGAGGGGGGAAGAAGGTGGATGATGATGCTGATGCTGATGCTGATGCTGATGTTGATGATGATGATGATGATGCTGATGATGATGATGATGATGATGATGATGATGATGATGATGCTGATGATGATGATGATGATGGTGGTGGTGGTGGTGGTGATGATGATGATGATGATGGTGCTGATGATGATGGTGCTGATGATGGTGCTGATGATGATGATGATGATGATGATGATGATGATGATGATGATGATGATGATGACGCTGCTGCTGCTGATGATGATGCTGCTGCTGATGATGATGATGATGATGAGGATGATGATGATGAGGAGGAGGAGGAGGAAGAAGGAGAAGAAGAGGGTGAGGAGGACCTCCCTCCTCCCTCAATTTTTTGGTGGTGGTGGTGGTGGTGGTGGAAAACAGGCCCATCAGTTTTCTTTGGGCCTTGGGAAGTCTCAGACGATTTTTTAGAAGGCCCGAGGGCTTTTGGCCCTCTGAGAAGGCACGCCCCCTCTCGCTCCCCCCGGGGGCTCGCCGCCGAGTGATGACTTCGGGGGTTGATCTCATAGCCGGGGCCATGATAGGATATTTCCCGAGCTTAGATGCTTCGATACGTCCGTTTTGATACGCAACACGTGCCGTGCTCAAAGCGTCCGTGTCAATACGTTGCGTGTTGGCTCAACGTATTGGCCCACGTATTTGGCGACCGTATCGCTTCAGACCTACGTTTTCAGTCTACGTGTTGAGCTGCCGTATCAATACGGTACGTGTTGCGTGTTGCGTGTTGCGTGTTGCGTGTTGGGGGAGCTAACCTTCCCAGATTTCATGGCGCTTCTTTTTGTATCCTCTGGCCTGCGGCCGGCGAAGGGGGAGAGGGTAATTCGTTCCTGTTCACGCGCTCGCTCTCTCTCAGGCCACTGTTCACCTCAAGAGTTTGCCTATCGCAGGTCGGCTCGTGGGTTGCACCCACTTTGCCTGGCGACTCTTTGAATCGCATTGCAGTTGAGAGTGTGCAGCGTGGAGGTGGAGGTCGTATGGTTCTGGAAAAGAGATTACACGGCGTCTCTTCTTTTTTCAGTACGTCCCCTGTCCCCCCCCTCGTCCGAGCACATGCCTCGGGCCACGATCTGCGAGCGTCTCCTGGACGCCCCCGATGTGGGAGCCGGCTGGGGGGGCCTGAGGTGGCCCAGCACTGGCTCCTGCGAGCAGGAATGGGGGGGGCGGGGCTCGAGGCTCTGGCTTCGGGACGGTCCTTGTTTCCCCTCTTCGATCTTCGGGGGTCGTTTTTTGCAGTTATACTCCAATTCATTCGCAGTTAGATTTATGTCCAGACCGTCACAACTGAAGCCCGTGTATATTCGAAAGCTCTTGCGCCTAGACATTCACGGCGGACAGGTCCATGCGAATAGATGCACATATGGGGAGCTCCACGCAGTGAATAATTGTTTCCCCTCTTCGATCTTCGGGGGTCGTTTTCTGGCCAGGAGACCGTCGAAAATGGATCCGGCGTGAGCGCACTGCACCAGATGGACCCCAGGAGGGGGTCGGGGACCGACTCTGAGCGGATTTGCCTTCACCCCTCACTCCTGCCAGGGGACCACCTGTGAACCCTACCCATGCCCCCCACGATTTCTGAGGGGGAGGGTGGGGTTCACTTCGTTCGGGAGCTCCCGATCGAAGTGATCCCGACCCTCCCCCTCAGAAAATGTGGGGGGTAGGGGTAGGGTTCACATGTGGTCCCCTGCTTGCCCGACTTCCTCGGGGCCCGGCCCCCTTTCAGCGCCCTCCCAAGGCAGGTTCGTGTCGTGTGCCGACGTTTGCGGCGTCCCCGTGGCGGACGGTCGAGTTGGAACGCCGCCCGATGGCCCAGAATCGGCCAGTATGGAACGACCGGGCGATCGAAGGAGGAGGCGGAGGAGGAGGCGGAGGAGGAGGCGGAGGAGGAGGCGGAGGAGGAGGAGGAGGAGGATCGGGATGATCGAGAAGCCGCGGGTCCTTCAAGAAGGAACGATCCGTTCGGTGTCCGAAGCCGACGCCGAAGTCACCACGACACGGCCCGGCCGCATCAATGACACGCGGCCGTTGGGAGCCCGTCGGCGTGTTGCTGTTTCGTCGCTGCTGCCGCAAGCCCTTTGTGTTGCTTCGGCAGTGGCACGCTGATGGGTTCCCCCCCGGCGGCGAGTTGTGGATGCTGCCTTTGCTCCCCCCGCCCCTCGCTCCCCCCCCCCCGAGGAGGAGAGCTCCAGGTTGTCCAGACTGGGGGGTCGAGAAGAGGGGGCCAGAGGATCCCAGACCCCCTCGCGTCGTGGGAAAGCCGCGGCGGACGCTTCTTCGCCGTGCTTTCGGCCTCTGGGGGCCCTCACAGGGCCTCGGGACTGTCAAGAGACGGGTTGAGGATGAACATCCGATCCTTGGGAAAGGGGTCCAGCCTTCGGGAGTCCACGTCGTGCGACAACCATGACGCCGGGGGTCTGGGCAGACGGGGGGATCGAGGCGGTGGGGTCGCAGGACCTCGCCGCATCGTCGATGCATCTGCGACGCGGTGCGACCTGGAGCCCGATCGTCTCCACCCACAACTCCCCCATTCGCCGCAGATGTATCGGCGATGCGGCGCGATCCTCCGACCCCGCCTGCTCAGGCCCCATGTGGGCGGCGACCGCTGGTTCCGCCGACTGCTGGTTCCGCCCGGCTGGTTTCGCCCGGCTGGTTTCGCCCGGCTGGCTTCGCCGCCTGGCGAAACCAGCTCCGTCGGCGAAACCAGCTGCCGCTGGCGAAACCAGCTGCCTTCGGCGAAACCAGCTGCCGTCGGCGAAACCAGCTACCGTCGGCGAAACTGCCCGACCCGACCCGCCCGCTAGGCTCCGCCCGCCCGACCTGACCCTCCAGTTAGGGTTCGCGCGTGCTCGGTCGAGCGCGCCCCACACTTCAATGTCCCGCCCGCCCGACACGACCCGCCTGTTAGGGTCCGCCCGCCCGACCCGACCAGCCCGTTAGGGTTGGCGCGTGCTCGGTCGAGCGTGCCCCACGCTTTCATACCCCGCCCGCCCGACCCGACTCGCCCGTCAGGGTCTGCCCGCCCGACCCGACCCGACCCGCCCGCTAGGGTCCGCCCGCCCGACCCGACCCGCCCGTTAGGGTTCTCGCGTGCTCGGTCGAGTGCGCCCCATACTTTCATGTCCCGCCCGCCCGACCCGACTCGCCCGTTAGGGTCCGCCCGCCCGACCCGACCCGACCCGCCCGCTAGGGTCCGCTCGGCCGACCCGACCCGCCCGATAGGGTTCGCGCGTGCTCGGTCGAGCGCGCCCCACACTTTAATGTCTCGCCCGCCCGACCCGACCCGCCCGTTAGGGTCCGCCCGCCCACTCCAGTATTTTTCGTCTTGGGGGGGGGGGTACGGGTGGCCTTCTTCCCGCCGCTCGGAGGGTGGACGTGGGCAAGAAGGTCGCGTTCGGAGAGGCCGACAAGGACAAGAAGGCGGGCGACAAGGAGAGGCGGTGGAGGATGCCGTCGCGGTATCAGGTCTGTGGTCTTGTCTCGGCTCCAGTGACGACGACGCCGCCGCCGACGCCGACTCCGACGCTGCCGCCGACGCCGACTCCGACGCCGCCGCCGACGCCGACACCGCCACCGCCTCCGCCGCCGCCGCCGACGACGACGCCGACGCCGACGCCGCCGCCGACGACGACGACGCCGACGCCGACTCCGACGCCGCCGCCGCCGCCGCCGACACCGCCACCGCCTCCGCCGCCGCCGCCGACGACGACGCCGACGCCGACGCCGCCGCCGACGACGACGACGACGACGACGTCGACGCTGACGCCGACGACGACGACGACGACCAAAAGCCTGCCTCGGGGCGACGGGCACCGGCAGGCCACAGAGGAGGGAGGTGCGGTGGCCGTGGCCGTTTCAGCCCCGTGGGTTAAGCTGCAGAGAATCGCTGAAGCGCAGCCAAGGCGCGGAAGTGAGGGCCACTTCTGGGCTCGGGAGGGGCGCCGGGGTTCGGGCCGTTCGTGGCCGAGGCTCGCAGTGGCCAGCCCCTTCGTTCCCGATTCATCGTTCTACCTGGTAGCACGATGACCGTATGGCACGATGTTGCTCGTTTCAACCTTAACATTCTCGCGCTGCTTGCGACCGTGGGGATGCCTGCCGCTACAAAGGGTATCAGGTCTGTGGTCGAGGACGAGGGGAAGGAGGAGAAGGCGGAGGAGGAGGGGGAGGAGAAATTCGTTTTGATTCGTTTTGGGCCTCCTGGGTTGGCCTGGTGGCCACGGCTTGAATCGCCTCGAAATGCATGTCTGAACGTGCTCCAGGAGAGTTTTTCTCGGGAGAAGGACGAGGAGGGGCGAGGAGGAGGAGGAGGAGGAGGAACTGGAGGAACTTTTCGATGCTATTTTTCAGAAGCCTCCGACCGAGTTCATGATTGCCCAGAACGGCCGCACGAGATCCGAGTTATGAGCTGAAAGCATGCCGGAGGGGAGGATTGGCCACCCTGAGGGTATATTTTTTCTCCGGGGGGAAGAAACACACAGACACAGTGAATCGTCGGCTCCCTGGAAAATATGGGAAAATTTGGGAAGTGGGGGTGAAGACGAACACCAAGAACATATGTGAAAATATGGGGAATCCTGGGATTTGTGTGTACTTATTTGTGTGTCCCTGGGCCCCTTCATTTTCAGAGGCCCACAGCGGGCAATCGACGCTGCTGCCCCTTGAAGGGGCGGCACCCCGGGCGTTCTTCGACCATGTACCTCCAGAGGCACGCAGCCCGCCAGCTTTCGCGCAGAAGACCGCCCCAGTTCACCGAGGACCGCCAGGGGACCGCCGAGGGCCGCCTACTGGTCCGCCAGGGGCCGCTGAAGGCAGCTTTTGCTCGGCCGTTCGTTTTTTTTTTTTTTTTTTTTTTGAGATTCCTCTCGCTTCGCGGGGGTGCACGTCCAGACCACGTACAGTCCAGTTCTTGCGGGGCCTCTTGAGAGCCTCTTCGGGGCCTCCTGGAGGCCTCTTGGGAGCTTCTTTGAGCCTCTTGGGGGCGTCTTTGGGGCCTCTCCCCCCTTCTTCCTTTTCATACTCCCTCCCCATATCCCCTTCCAGCGCCGGCTCTAATCATGGGCGCCGCCGTGACCACTTTCCACCTTGCTGGCGCTGCGCCGCGCTTCGCCCAGGGGGGAAACATGACAGTACACTCTAGTCGCTGTGTGGGCTTTGGGGGGCTTCTACGGGGCCTTTTGGAGGCTTCTTGAAGACTTCTTGGGGGCTTCTTGGGGGCTTCTTGGGGCCCCTTGGGGGCCTCTTGGGGGCCTCTTGGGGCCTCTTGGGGGCGCCCTGGGCCGTTGTGGGGCGTTTTCCTGCCGTTTCGCCCCTTCGGAGGCCGTCTTGCGGGCGTCTCGCGGCCGCCTTGGGGCCCTCTTGGGGTGCTCTTGGGCCGTCGTAGGGGCCGCTTGGACCGTTTGGGGGGCCTCTTTGGGCCGTCTTGGGGCCCTCTTGGGCCTTCTTGGGACCCTCTTGGGGACATTTTGGGTTGTTCTGGGGCGATTTTGGATGCTGCTGGGGCCGCAAAGGCGAGAACGTTGAAATGTCGGCAAAACCATAGGACAATCAATGATTTTGGCCTCTGGGGGCGCAGTTGTGGGCGCTCTTGGGGCCCTCTTGGGCCGTCATTGGGGCTTTTTGGGCCCTCTTGGGTCCATCTTGAGCCGTCTTGGCGCCCTCGTGGCCCCCCAAGAGACCCAAGAGGTCGAAATCATAGATTTCTATAGGTTTTGGTGCGTTTCTGAGCCCCCCAATGGGGGTGGCCACTTTGGGTCGAAGGATGCGGCGTAGCCCCTGGGGGGGGTTAGGGGGGGAGAAATAATAATGTAACACAATGCAATCTGTTGGAAGTGTGCAATCTTTGGATACATTGGGTACATTGCATTCAGGCGTTCGCCGGAAAACGCTGCCGCTCAGCCCGTCACCTTCGGACGTGGATTCTTTTCGCTTCGCGGGGTGCACGTCCGGAGCACGTACAGTCCAGTCGTTGTCGGGCCTCTGGGAACTTCTTGGGGGCCCCTTGGAGGCCTTTTTGGGGCCTCTTGGGTTCTCGCGAGGGCGTCTGTGAGGCCTCTTGGCGTGTGGGCGTCTTGGGGGCGCTCTTGCGCTGTCAGGTCACGTTCGTTTTAAAAAGGCTTCCAACTTTCACAATGAATCTTGGGCCGTCTGGACGCCCTCGTGGGGCCCCAAGAAGGCGACGGGGCCCAAATCACAGATTTTCCATTGGTTTTGGTTGGATTATGTAGGTTTTTGAGGCGCCGGAGGGAGGGGCCACTTTGGGTCGGCGGAAGTGGTGTGGCCCCTGGGGGGGCCTCTTGGGGGCGTGTTCGGCTGTCTTGCTGCGCTTTTGCGCCGTTTCGCCCCTTGGGATGCCCTTTTGGAGGCCTCTCGCGGCCGCCTTGGGTCTCTCTTGGGGTCCTCTTGGGCCGTTTGGGGGGCCTCTTGGACCGTCTTGAGGGCCTCTTTGGGGCGTCTTGGGGCCCCCTTGGGCCGTCCGTTCAGAGGCTATTTTAGCCCGTGTGGACGCCCTCGTGGGGCCTCAAGAGGGCGACGGGGCCCAAATCACAGATTTTCCATTGGTTTTGGTTGGATTATGTAGGTTTTTGAGGCGCCGGAGGGAGGGGCCACTTTGGGTCGGCGGAAGTGGTGTGGCCTTTGGGGGGGTTAATGGGGGGTACATAATAATGTAACACAGTATAAAATTGAGCAATTATGCAATCTTTGGATACATTGGAGACGTTGCATTATAGCCTCCGCGGACCTGCCTCCGGCAACGCGTCACCTCCGGACGTGGATTCCTCTCGCTTCGCGGGGTGCACGTCCGAAACACGTGCAGTCACGTCGTCGCGGGGCCTTTCGGGAGCCTCCTGGGGGCTGCCTGGAGGCCTCTTGGGAGCTTCTTTGGGCCTCTTGGGGGCGTCTTTCGGGCCTCTCCATCCCTCTTTTTCATACTCCCTCCCCAGCTTCCCTTCCGGCGCAGGCTCTAATCATGGGCGCCGCCGCGACCAACTTCCACCCGGCTGGCGCTGCGCCGCAGTTCGCCCAGGGGGAGAAAAATATCATGACTTTTCAGTCGTTGCGTGGCCTTGTGGGGGCTTCTTTGAGGCCTCTTGGAGGCTTCCCGGGGACCTCTTGGAGGCCTCCTGGGTTTTTTCCCAACCATCCTGTGGTGTTGGGTCCTCGTTTTGAAGAGACGGTGCCCGCGTCCTCTCCTCTCCTCCTCTCCTCCTCCCTCCTCCTGGGGGTGTCCACATGCGGTTCCCCCACCCAGGGCAGCGTTTCGTGGCCCCATAGGGAGCTCCACCGAAGGCCCCAGTGGGGGTGTCCACATGCGGTTCCCCCACCCAGGGCAGCGTTTCGTGGCCCCATAGGGAGCTCCACCGAAGGCCCCAGTGGGGGTGTTCGCATGCGGTTCCCCCACCCAGGGCAGCGTTTCGTGGCCCCATAGGGAGCTCCACCGAAGGCCCCAGTGGGGGTGTCCACATGCGGTTCCCCCACCCAGGGCAGCGTTTCGTGGCCCCATAGGGAGCTCCACCGAAGGCCCCAGTGGGGGTGTTCGCATGCGGTTCCCCCACCCAGGGCAGCGTTTCGTGGCCCCATAGGGAGCTCCACCGAAGGCCCCAGTGGGGGTGTTCGCATGCGGTTCCCCCACCCAGGGCAGCGTTTCGTGGCCCCATAGGGAGCTCCACCGAAGGCCCCAGTGGGGGTGTTCGCATGCGGTTCCCCCACCCAGGGCAGCGTTTCGTGGCCCCATAGGGAGCTCCACCGAAGGCCCCAGTGGGGGTGTCCGCATGCGGTTCCCCCACCCAGGGCAGCGTTTCGTGGCCCCATAGGGAGCTCCACCGAAGGCCCCAGTGGGGGTGTCCACATGCGGTTCCCCCACCCAGGGCAGCGTTTCGTGGCCCCATAGGGAGCTCCACCGAAGGCCCCAGTGGGGGTGTCCACATGCGGTTCCCCCACCCAGGGCAGCGTTTCGTGGCCCCATAGGGAGCTCCACCGAAGGCCCCAGTGGGGGTGTCCACATGCGGTTCCCCCACCCAGGGCAGCGTTTCGTAGCCCCATAGGGAGCTCCACCGAAGGCCCCAGTGGGGGTGTTCGCATGCGGTTCCCCCACCCAGGGCAGCGTTTCGTGGCCCCATAGGGAGCTCCACCGAAGGCCCCAGTGGGGGTGTTCGCATGCGGTTCCCCCACCCAGGGCAGCGTTTCGTGGCCCCATAGGGAGCTCCACCGAAGGCCCCAGTGGGGGTGTCCGCATGCGGTTCCCCCACCCAGGGCAGCGTTTCGTAGCCCCATAGGGAGCTCCACCGAAGGCCCCAGTGGGGGTGTTCGCATGCGTCTCCACTACCCAGAGGTAGCGCCGCCGAAAACGATATTCACACTTGCGGTATTCACAGTTGCATATGATTGGGTCCTTCGCCAGGCTAATTTTTGGAGCCCCTTGGGGGCCTCTTGGGGGCCTCTCGTGGTCTCTTGGGGGCGTCTTGGGCCGTCTTGAAGCGTTTTCGCGCCTTTCCGCCCCTTCGGAGGCCGTCTTGGGGGCCTCTCGCGGCCGCCTTGGGGTTCTCTTGGGGTCCTCTTGGGCCGTCTTAGCGTTTTTTGGATCGCCTTGGGGGCCTCTTTGGGCCGTCTTGGGGCCCTCCTGGGCCGTTTGGGGGCCCTTTTGGGGGCTTCTTGGGCCTTTGGGGGGCAATTTTGGTGGCTGCCTGGGCGGCCATGGGCTTCTGAGAGTCAGGAAAGGCGAGAACGCTAAAATCATGTAAAAACTAACTAGGACAATTTATGATTTTGGCTTCTGGAGGCACTCTTGGGGGTCGTCTTAGGGCCCTCTCGGGACGTCTTAGGAGTTTCTTGGGCCTTTTTGGGGCCATCATGGACCGTCTTGGAGCCGTCTTCGCCCGTCTTGAAGCCATATGGAGCCGTCTTGAGGCCTTATTGGGCCTCCCGGAGGGCCCAAAGTACCGAAATCATGAATTTTACATGGTTTTGGTACGGTTTTGAGCTCCAAATGGGGGTCTCCATCTTGTGTCGACGGATGTGGCGTGGCCCCCGGGGGGGGGTTAGGGGAGGAGACATCATAACGTAACGCAATACAATATGTGGCAATTCTGCAACAATTGGAAACATAGGGTACGTTGCATTATCGCCTCCGCAGAAAACGCTGCCGCTCAGCACGTCACTTCCGGACGTGCATTCTATAGGCAGACGCCACATCCGCCGACCCGTATATAAATTATTGCCCTCCAGGGCTGCATTTCACGAGGTTTGTCCGAATCATGACACGGCGCTCGATATCGGTACTGTTGTTTCGTTGCTTTTACCGTACAACTTGGTGTTTTTTTTGTTGCCTTTTGGTTGCATTTTGGCCTGGGGCAGGCTGGGGGCGTCTTGGGGCCGAATGCTCGAAAAGGTGCCCTCTGGACTCCCTCTTGGAGCCGTCTGGGGGCCCCCTTGGGCTGTCTTGGGGGCTTCGTGGGCTGTTTTTGGACCCTCTTCGACCCCTCTTGGGGGCCACTTCGGTCGTCAGGGGGTGATCTTGAAGGTTTCTTCGCCCGTCTTGGACTTTGTGAAAGCCGAAAAGGCGAGTGTGCGACAAAAGCCGTTTGTTCCAAGGGAACGGGACGAGTTTTGTTTCTTGGGCCCTCTTTGGACGCATCTTGGAGGTCCTTTGGGGCCTCTTGGCAGCTTCGGAGGCCGTCTGGATGCCATCGTGGGCGTCAGGAACGATATTTCGGCGACTCGTTGACCTCTGGGACCGTCTGGGAAGCGTTTTGGTGCCTTCTTGGCCCGTTTTGGGGCCCTCCGCTTCCCCATGGCGCGTTCTGTCCGGGGCCGGGACAGGCCAGGGGGGGGGTCAAATTGCCGGTTTGGGGTCCCTGGGGGGGGATATAGGGGGGGATGATCTCACACGCCTAGAGACCCACAAGAGGTCGGCGGATATCGGAAGAGCATATTTACTACAGTCAACCCGTATCATAAGGATGCGCGGTAAGGATGCAAGGGCTTTGGAGGGCCAAGTTGACGTTTTTTTGAACGAGGGTGCCAGTGAAAGTCGCTGAGGATGGGCCGAAGGGGCAAGGATGCAAGGGTACCCATTGGGAATGTTGCCCATCTTTGCTATGCGGGTTGACTACAGCTTCAGGTAGTGCTCGAGCGCAAAATGTTCGGCTGCTTCCTGGGATTCCTGGCCCCCCTCCGTGCGGCCCGCCCACCACGGCAGCCGCCAGGTCGCCGAGAAGCTGGGCCAGGGCTCGTACGGCTGCGTCTGCGAGGCCCACGACGCCGAGCAGGGCTGCAAGGTGGCCATCAAGAGGACATCACCCCGGCTTCTTCGCTGCTCCTTGCAGTGCTGAGTCGGCCCCCCACCTCCGCCGCCAGCCTTTTGAATTGATTTGGGCCAGCGACCCCGCCGCCATTTTGTCGGCTGTTCCCCCCGCTTGTTTCGCCACGTCGCTTTGCAAGCTCCGGCGCCTGGGAGCGCCCGCGCGCGCTCGCGGGCGCTTGCGAGTGCCCCCGGGGGGCGCCTGAGAGCGCATGCGCGCGCTTGCGAATGCTGGGGGGGAAGCGCCCAGGAGCGCATGCGAGCGCCCGATCTCCAAAGCGCAGCACGCCATAATCAGTCGAGACTCATTCAAAGAAGACTCGCCGCCCTCGTTGATTCATAGAGAGTTTGGACTGACTGATCTGAGTTTTCTGGAACGTCACCTGCCGTTTTTCATTATTTTCCCTGCCGCCCGTTATCATCGACAACAACATAACCCCGTAACCCTAATAACACGCTGAAGACGTGGCCTCATTTAGGCCCCCGTCTTCGCATCAGGGACCATACATTTAGGCGGCTTCGTTTGACACGTGTGCATAAAAGACCCCCCATCCCTACTGCTCTTGGCCCCCCTGAATCAGGTCCCCTCCAAAAGGTTTAACCAGGGGTACTTATGGTTTTGGGGCTCCGACGTGCCCTCTTTTGCTTCGGGCGGTCTGCGAGGACCGCCGACCGCGCGCGGAGGGTGGCAGCCTCCCGGGAGCTCCGCCCCTCCTCTCCCAGAGGCCGTCCGGCCTCCCGAGTCCCAGACCCCCGACGTCATGATTTTTCCATTGCGTCGACCCCTGGAGGTCTCGACCCATTCCCCTGGACCGGTTTTTCATCCTGATTCGTTTTTTGACGGTCTCGAGGGCTGGTAAGGGCCCCCAGAGGCCGAAAATTGTAAAAAGCCTCCCGTCTTGTTTTTTCTATTGCCCGAGGGGGTCTGGGGTGGCGGCCCTCTCCCGGGGTGCCAGGCGAGGGAGGAGCACGGCCTCCCTCCGAGGAGGCACCCGTTCTTCCGAAGGGTGGGAGCTTTATGCACGGCCACCGCCTGGAGCATATCCCTTTTCGAGGGCCTCGGCAGGCGGCGAATGTGGATATAAAAGTATATATATAGTTATATCTATATTGTGTACTTATATATAACTATATATATATATGTATATATATGTATGTATATACATACATACATACATATATATATATATATATATATATATATATACAAGACTGCAGTGGCGATTCGCGCCATGCACCTTGGTCCTTGAAGTTTGGTACGCAGGCGGAATAGCAGGAAGGTCAAGCCGACAATTTAGCGATAACTCCTGGTTGCCTTTTCTGGCATCTCCGCCATAATAATGTTATTCGTTATCCTTCCTCCATGCTTCTTTTTCCTTATTTTCGCCATGCCCTGCGCATTCTCCCCATCCTCCTCAGCTCTTTTTTGCGGAGGCTCCTCCTTGGAGAGCCTCTAGGGGCCTCACAAAAGTTGTTTCAGGCTTTCTTAAGGCCTTCTGGAGACCTCCTGGGCGTATTCTGGGGGCCTCGGGAAGCTTCCTCGGGCCACCCTGCCTCCAGCCGCGGTTTCCCTGAACGACCGAATCACGATTTGGAATTCTTCGGAGGGTGTCTTTGGGCCATCTTGGGCCGCCATGGAGCTCTCTGAGGGCCATCTTGGACCCGTGTTGTGCCGTTTTGGGGCTCTCTTGGCATGCCTGGAAACCCTTTCGGATGGTTGTGGGGCGATTGTGGCGCCTCCCAGGCGGCTTCGGACGCCCAGAAGACCGCCGTCTTGGAGCGTCGGGAAGCCGAAAAGAGGAGAACCCTCAAATTCACCAAAAACCAATAGAAAATCAATGATTTTTGCCTCGGGGGGCCTTCTTGGGAGTGCTCTTGGAGGCCTCTTTGAGGCCGTCCTGGAGAGGCCTCTTGGGCCATCTTGAGGTCACGTCGGTCACTCTTGGAGCGCTCTTGTGCTGTCTTGGGGGTCTCTGGGCCGTCTCCGATGACCCCCCTGATCGCCCCAGGTGTTCTGGGAAGGCTTGGCAAAGCGCCATGTGAGGCCCGGGGGCCGCTTCGAGGCCCGTCTGGAGGGTCCCAAAGCCCCAGATCCCGGGAGTCCGTTTTGGGGGGGGGGGGTGTGATGGGTTTTCCCCCCGCCCGGGCTTGCAAAAATATAGGAAGAGGAACATGTACGACCCCCGGCTCTGGGCCCACGGGCTTCCTCCCCCCAGATGGGATGGGTCCCAGGGCTCCACGGCTCCCCACCTCCTGATGGGATGGGCGGGGGACGGCGACGGCGACGACGACGACGGCGGCGACGACGACGACGGCGGCGACGACGACGACAACGGCGACGACGGCGACGATGGCGATGACGACGACGACGACGGCCACGACGACGACGACGACGGCGACCACGACGACGATGACGGCGACGACGACGACGGCGATGGCGACGGCGACGACGACGACGACGACGGCGACGGCGACGACGACGGCGGCGGCGGCGCTGCGCCGACCTCCGGAGGCCTCCGACGACGACGGCGGCTGCGGCGGCGACGACCTCCGGAGCACGCCTGGAGCACCACAGTACCACGCCAGGGGGGGGGCATCGCGCGGGGGGGGGGAGGCCCGATGGCATCAGCATGAGGGGGGGGCCCAGACCCTGGATCTCGACGCCGTCCCTCCCCGCCGCCGAGGACGGACCACCTGTTCGACGACGCCATGGACGCCAGGCGCACCCTGCGCGAGGTGGCCATCCTGTCGCTGCTGAGGCACGACAACGTCGTCCGCCTGCTCGACGTGTTCGCCCCAGGCGACGGGCTCTCGGACTTCAACGAGCTCTACGTGGTGATGGAGCTCTGCGACTCGGACCTCAAGAAGCTGTGCCGCTCGGCGACGTGGCTCAGCGCGCTCCACCTGCGCCGCATGCTGTGGACGCTGCTCTGCGGGCTGAAGTACGTGCACTCTGCGGGCATCTACCACAGGGACCTGAAGCCAGCCAACTGCCTGGTCAACCAGGGCTGCGACGTCAAGATCTGCGACTTCGGCCTCGCGCGAGCCGTGGGCGGCGAAGGATCCAGCAAGGAGGAGGTGAACCTCCTCGCGAGGCAGCAGCAGCCAGCCCGGCACCTCACGGGCCACGTCGTGACGCGCTGGTACCGCGCCCCAGAGTTGATCCTGCTGCAGGAGGAGTACACCGAGCTGATAGACATGTGGTCCGTGGGCTGCATCTATGCCGAGCTTCTGGGGATGTACGAGGGCATCGACCCGAGGGACCGCGGCCCGCTCTTCAAGGGCACCGCGTGCTTCCCGCTGTCTCCGCACGGTAAGGGGCAGGAGCTGGCGCCTCCAGCCGCGGGTGCTTACCGCCACGCCAAGGAGGACCAGCTGGAGATGATCTTCAACGTCATCGGCACGCCGACCGATGTCGAGGCGAGCCCGGTACGCTGGCCGATCGGAATGCCAGCCGCCGCCGCCCCCGTCGCTGCGCCGCCGCCGCCGCCGTCGCCGTCGCTGCGCCGCCGCCGCCCCCGCCGCCGCCGCTGCCGCCGTCGTCGTCGTCGGTCGTCGTCGTGGTCGTCGTCGTTGTCGTGGTTGTCGTCGTGGTTGTGGTCGTGGTTGTGGTCGTCGTGGTCGTCGTCGCCGCCGCCATCGTCGTCGTCGTCGTCGTCGTGGTGCTCGTGCTCGTGCTTGTGCTTGTGCTCGTGGTCGTGCTCGTGGTCGTGGTCGTGCTCGTGGTCGTGCTCGAGCTCGTGCTCGAGCTCGTGGTCGTGGTTGTGGTCGTGGTCGTGGTCGTGGTCGTCGTCGTCGTCGTCATCGTCGTCGAGGTCGTCTTGGTCGTCTTGGTCGTCGTCGTCGTCTTGGTCGTCGTCGTCGTCGTCGTCGTCGTCGTCGTCGTCGTCGTCGTCGTGGTCGTCGTGGTCGTCGTGGTCGTGTTCGTGGTCGTCGTCGTCGTCGTCGCCGTCGTCGTCGCCGCCGTCGTCGTTATCATCGTCGTCGTCGTCGTGGTGCTCGTGCTGGTGCTCGTGCTCGTGCTTGTGCTTGTGCTTGTGATCGTGCTTGTGGTCGTGGCTGTGCTTGTGCTCGTGGTCGTGGTCGTCGTCGAGGTCGTCTTGGTCGTCGTCGTCGTCGTCATGCTCGTTCTCGTGGTGGTACTCGTGCCGTGGCTGCTGGGCGGCCTCTGTCGGCAATTCAGGAAAACCTTCCAAAGGAGCAATGCGCGCGCTGAGCGCTGAGCGCGCTCGGGCGTTAGGCCAGCAGCCCCTCGCCCCAGGGGCCATGGAAGCGGCGCCAACGACCACGTACATTACCATGGCCGCCAACACGACGTCCACGACGACCACCCTACGATACCTGCACAACAACCGCCACGACCACTACGATGGGATACGCCCACCATCGCGGCGGCCACGACCACCACCACAACGACTTTAACCACGACGACGCAACGATCCCCCCCCGCCGCCCCCAAGCCTCCCTTCCTGCCTGGCCGCCCCTGCCTGCAGCTTTCGCCTGCTCACCTCGGTAATTATTTCCTAGAAAAAACCGCCTGGCCAAGGAGTTTTGTGCCATGTGGGCCTTGAGTGATGTGCGCCACCGTAACCCCAATGCCCATGGCCCAGGGGCCCCCCTCTGTGGCAGGGTAGGGGACCCACTCGGGTGCCCCCAGGCCGAGGCGAGGAGGAGGAGGAGGACCTGGGTAAACCCAAGACTCATCAATGATGTTGAAATGCAGTCTCGCTCCAATATCCCTCCTCATAGGCCCCATGCAAGGGGTCATTTCCATTGAGGGAGGTGGCCCGTTGGGGGACAATCGTGGGAATATCTTGAAGCGTACCAAAGCACCATTCTCAGGATTTCAAAACCACGAGTTCACCTGACTATTACATTTCGGCGATCCTGACTCGTGTCAGAGCACCATTCCTGGGACTTCAGCACCGCAAAACAAGGTAATTGTTGAGCCCTGACAGCCCTGAATCGTTCCAAAACACAACTTCTGGTATTTTCCCCTTGAGAATCAGTCAAACGCTTACAATTCTGAAAACGAATGTTCGCGGCGCTAAGGCGAGAGCCACATTTTGAAAACGAACCGCCCTCAATCCGTGAAGCTCTTGCGAATGTTCAGAATCGACTGTGTGCGGCAAGAGAGCTACAGTTTGGAAACGGCCCACCCCCAATCCGTGAAATTCATGTGCGTGGCGCGAGAGCCTCTTTTTGAAAACGGCCCGCCCTCAATTCGTGAAGCTCCAGCAAATTGAAAGAACGAATGTTCGCGGCGCGAAGGCCAGAGCCACACTTTGAAAACAAACCGCCCTCAATCCGTGAAGCTCTTACGAATGTTCAAAATCGACTGTGTGCGGCACGAGAGCTACAGTTTGGAAACGGCCCGCCCTCAATCCGTGAAATCGACTGTGTGCGGCAAGAGAGCTACAGTTTGGAAACGGCCCGCCCTCAATCCGTGAAGTTCATGTGCGTGGCGCAAGAGCCTCTTTTTGAAAACGGCCCGCCCTCAATCCGTGAAGCTCCAGCAAATTGAAAGAACGAATGTTCGCGGTGCTAAGGCGAGAGCCGCATTTTGAAAAGGAACCGCCCTCAATCCTTGACGCTCTTGGAACTTTCCTCAACGGATGCGCGCGGCGCTAAGGCGAGAGTCACATGTTGATAAACCACCCGCCCTCCATCTGTGAAGCTGTTGTCAACTTCTATGCTTCAGGGTCATAGATGGTGAGGAAATCGCAGGCGAACCGCCCGTCCTGCCCTTAGGACCGGTTTCGGGGTGCGACACGGTCGGGGTGTAAAGGAGGAGGAGGAGGAGGAGGAGGAGGAGGAGAAGGAGGAGGAGGAGGAGGAGGAGGAGGAGGAGGAGGAGGAGGATAAGGAGGAGGAGGAGGAGGAGGAGGAGGAGGAGGAGGAGGAGGAGGAGGACGAGGATGAGGAGGAGGAGGAGGAAGACGAGGAGGAGGACGAGGAGGACGAGGAGGACGAGGAGGACGAGGAGGTCGAGGAGGACGAGGAGGAAGATGAGGAGGACGAAAACGAGGACGAGGATGAGGACGAGAACGAGGACGAGGAAGAGGACGAGGACGAGGAGGAAGAGGAGGAGGAAGAGGAGGACGAGGATGATGAGGAGGAAGAGGATGAGAGGAGGAGGAGGAGGAAGATGAGGCGGACGAGGAGGATGAATTGGAGGAGGAGGAGGAGGTGGAGGAGGTGGAGGAGGAGTTGGAGGAGGAGGAGGAGGAGGAGGAGGAGGAGGAGGAGGAGGGGAAACAACAATATGAATAATCATTACTCCGACGGTAGGACTCCGCATCGGAATCTATTTAGATTGCGCTTCGCTCTTTCCTCTTCGCCCTGGCCCAAGCCCCCCGTCTCGCCCTCTGTTGCGCCTCCTCCTCATCCTCCTTGTCTTCCTCGTCCTCCGTCTCCTCCTCCTGCTCGCCCTCCTTGTTCAATGTCTCCTGCTCTTCTTCGTCCTTTTCCTCCTTCTCCCCCACCTCCTCCTCCTCTCCCCCCCCTCATCTCCATCCCGCCGGTTCTCCTCATGCACCTCTTCTTCCTCGTGGCAGGGGGGCACATGCCGATTTTCCTCGGTGCCCTCGCCGCCGCGCCCGGCAGGGGCGCGAAGCCGTCGGGGCAACGGCCGTTGGGACAACTCCGCGAGCCGCTGGGGCGCGAGAGCAAGCCGTCGGGACAACCCCGCAGGCACCGAGTTAGAGGAGGCCGCGCTCAGGCGGGAGGCAGCACGAAGTTCAGCTCTGCCGCTGGCTGCCCCGCCTCAGCCCTGCAGTCCATATTCACTCCAGAAGAACCGAGAAGTGATGACGGTTACAAGGTTCCGATAGCCCGCTCGGATTGCCAACATGAGCTGTGGACCCCATAGGGAGGGGTCTCCCGCTTCAGATTTTTTCGCAATTCACTCACAGACGAGGCTCGGGCCTGAGACTCCTTCCATATCCAGTCCGATATATCCGGAAAGACGTCAGTTACAGGATTCCGATGGCCCGCTCGGATTACCAACGTGAGTTGCGGGCCCCTATAAGGGGGGAGCTCCCGCCTTAGGCTTCTTCGCAAATCGCTCACCGACGAAACTCCCGCCTGAGACTGCCCCCATATCCAGGCCAGAGGATCCGAAAAGTGATGACAGTTACGAGATCTCGATAACCTGCTCGGAATGCAAGCATGAATGGCGGAACCCGCAGGGGGGGGCTCCCGCCTTAGATTTCCGCGCAATTCAGTCACAGACGAAACTCCCGTCCGAGACGTCCTCCATGTTCAGGCCAAGAAAGCTCAAATGTGATGAAAATTACAGGATCCTGATCGCCTGCTTGGATTACCAACGTGAAGTGCGGACCCCAAAGGAGGTGGTTCCCGCCCGAGACTTCCTCGCAAATCACTCACAGACGAAAGTCCCGCCTGAGACTTCTTCCATATTCAAACGAGATGAATTGACAACTGACGACAGTTTCAAGGTTCCGGTGGTCCGCTTGGAATGCCAACGTGATTTGCGGACCCCATTGGGGGGGGCTCCCGCCAGAGACTTCCTCGCGATTCACTCACAGACGGAGCTCCCGCCTGGGGGTTCCTCCTTCTTCAGTCGCGAGGATCCGACAAGCTACGACATTTACAGGAGCCCGATGGCCCGCTCGGACTGCCAACGTGAAGTGCGGACTCCATGGGGAGGGGGCTCCCGCCTGAGATTTCCGCACAATGCATTCACTGACGAAACTCCCGCCAGAGACTTCGCTTATCAATATTCAGGCCAGAAAAGACCCAAAACGACAAACGTACAGGATTTTGATGACCCGCTCGGATTGCCAACGTGAAGTGCGGAGTCCCTATGGAGGGAACTCCCGCTTGAGATCTCCTCGCAATTCAGTCACAAACGAAACTCCCGTTCGAGCCGCCCTCCGTATTCTGGCCAGAAAACGTTCAACAGTGACGACAGTTACAAGGTTCCGGTGGCCCGTTCGGATTGTGAACATGAAGTGCGGACCCCTAAACAAGGGATTCCCGCTCGACATTTTCTCGCGACCCACTCACAGACGAAACTCCCGCCGGAGACTTCCTCCATCTTCAGTCGGGGGGAAGCCCAAAAGTGAGGACAGTTTCAGGATCCCGATGGCCCGTTCGGATTGCCAACATGAAGTGCGGACTCCATAGGCAGGGGGCTTCCGCCTGAGACTTCCCCACGCCCCACTCACAGACGAAACTCCCGTTGGATAGTTCCTCATTTTCAGGTCAGAGAAGCCCAAACACGACGACATATACAGGGTTCCGATGACCCGCTCGGGTTGCCAACGTGAAGTGCGGGCCCCATAAAGGGGGGCTCCCGCTCGAGATTTTCTTGCAAGTCACTCACAGACGAAGCCCTTCTTGGTTGATGATCGCGATGGGATGCGGGTAGCTATGGCGATGGTGGTATGTGCGGTTGGTGATGACGACGATGATGCCGATGCCCGACGGTCATGATGCCAGCATGACATGATGATTGACTGATGGGAGAAGGTGAATGAATGGGACAGGGAGAGAAAGAGAGAGAGAGAGAGTGTGGGTGATAATGAATGCGGATGAGCTGGGATGACAGACGATGATGCTGATGATGATGATGATGATGATTGTGATGACGGTGATGAGGATGATGACGAGGATTGTGGTGACGGTTCTGATTGTGTGTGAGTGTTTCACGAGGGGAGGGCGTGAGGAGGAAGTCTGCGCGGGGTGTCCAGAGAAATCAAGCACTCACTTAAAATGTGGGGGTTATGGCCATACTATTACTATTAAAAGCATTCGTATTAACATCGTGACTAATAACCGCACACAAATACGAATGACAGTAATAATGATTAACGGATTAAGTAATGGCATTACGAGTAATGCGAATACCACGCTCTTCAGTTTCAGCACGAAAAATGTTGTTATTGATGCTAACCGTAATATTGATTATACTACCACTAGTAATAACAATTTTAATGATAATGATAACAGCACCAAAAACAATACCAACGAACAGTAGTAGCACACATTGGAATAGTGCTGGCCATACTGCCAATATTAAGAATGATGATACTATTGATGGTGATGTTGATGATATTCCCACTACTGTTACTTTTATTGACATATTAAGAGAAGGAGGAGGAGGCGGAGGATGATGAGGAGGAAGAGGAAGAGGAGTAACAATGACAACGCTACTCGTACTCGTAGTATTGACATTAATAATCGTACTAACACCAGTCACACTCATACTAGAACTCGTGATCATTTTCATTCTAGTAATAGTAATAGTAGTCATCGTATTCATACTAATTTTTAAACTGCCAACGCCAACAGTAAACTTACACATGCTTACATATTAATTCTACTACCAATACTGGTATCACTGTAGCAATACTAGAACTAGTCATTTTCATACTAATCCTGTTAACGCTCGCAGTCGCACTAACAGCACCAACAGTAATATTCTAATAGCAGCGCTAACACCAACGATACACATACTAGTAATACAGACGTGTTTTTTTTTGTTTGCTTGTGAGTTTTTTCTTCCCCTGACTGTAAAACATATGACGATATTCGTAGTCACATCGGTAACCATAGTAGTGTCAATAACAAGAACACTGCTTTCAATATTGACACGAGGAAGAACACCAATGCTATCGCTACTGGTGATACTGCGAATGCGAATGCTACAACTCGTAGTAGTGACGGTAATACTAGTGACAATGCTAACGAAACATCTTCCAATGCTAATGCGAATGCCACGTGTACTAATAGTTATTATAATGATGATACTGCTCCTAGTACCACTACTGCTACGGATCATACTGTCATTAATCGTAGTATTAACACTAATATCGCGATTACTGATGCATTTATTTACGATTGATCATGTTAGTATTATCGCGTGTCATCATATTGCTGATGCTCACGCTACTAGTCTTGGTAATGACCATCGTAATGGTAATACCCATGCTACTAATCATTTCAATACTTTCATAATAAACACAATCTTAATGATGCGAACACTAAGAAATCGCAATACGAGTGACAATAATAGTAATTGTAGTTATCGGGTGAAGAGGGGGAACAGGAGGATTATGATGAGCATGAGATGAGAAGGATGAGGAGGAGAAGGAGGAGGAAACGCAGGAGCAGGAGCAGGAGCAGGAGCATGAGAAAAAGTGATGAGGGGGAGGGCCACGGAAGATGCTGATGCTGCTGATGATGATGGTGATGATGACGATGTTGATGATGATGATGATGATGATCATGCTGATTCTGATGTTGATGATGATGCTGATGATACTGATGCTTATGCTTATGTTGATGTTGATGATGCTGATGATGATTATGATGTTGATGATGCTGATGATGATTATGATGATGATGATGATGCTGATGATGATGATGATGCTGCTGCTGCTGCTGATGATGATGATGATGATGAGGAGGAGGAGGAGGAGGAGGAGGAGGAGGAGGAGGAGGAGGAGGAGGATAACGGAGGAGGAGGAGGAGGAGGAGGAGGAGGAGGAGGAGGAGGAGGAGGAGGAGGGGGAGGAAAAAGGTTGGAGTTTATTTTTGAGCACAACCGCTGCGCTGCATGCCGAAAACGCACTCCCCTATGACATTTTCTCACGCGGGGCCTTGGGCGCCATTTAGGGCACCCAGGGCCTCTCACGCGGCCCTACACACACGGCCAGCGGGCGAGGCTTCCGAGCGGGTCGGGGGAATCACAATCGCCGCAGCAACAGGGATTGCCGATGAACGCTCAGCAACCCTTCTGCCGCGGCGGACGTCAGACAACGAAAGCGACGGCGACGGCACGACAGGGAGGACGTACCCCCTAGCCACGACTCCCACGAGGGAGACATGGCTTGGAAATGCCAGGTTTCCGTAGGAGGCTGCGTGGCCGGGGACTCAATTGGAGGAGTGGGCCTTGCTTCGGGGGGCGTCCCCAACACCTTGCAGCAGCGGGAGGTGCCCAGGAAGAGGCGTGGAGGAGGAGGAGGCGGAGGCGGAGGCGGAGGAGGAGGAGGAGGAAAAGGAGGAGGAGGAAGAGGAGGAAGAGGAGGAGGAGGAGGAGGAGGAGGAAGAGGAGGAGGAGGAGGAGGAGGAGGAGGAGGAGGAGGGAGGAGGAGGAGGAGGAGGGGAGGAGTCGAAAGCGGAGGCGGAGGCGGAGCGGAGGAGGAGTGAGGAGAGGAGGGGAGGAGGAGGAGGAGGAGGAGGATCGAGGAGGAGGAGGAGTTGGAGGAGGAGGAGAGGAGGAGGAGGAGGTGAGGAGGAGGCGGAGAAGCAGGAGACAGGAGGAGGCGGAAAGCAGGAGGAGGAGGAGGAGGAGGAGTAAGGAGCAAAGGAGAAACATAGGATGAGGAGAAGGGGAGGGAGGAGGAGGAGGAGGAGGCGAGGAGGAGGAGGAGGAGGGAGGAGGGGGGGGGAGGAGGAGGAGGAGGAGGAGGAGGAGGAGGAGGGAGGAGTCCCCTAAGAGGCCCGAAAAGAAAAGAAAGCCTCCACGAGGCCCCTAAGAGGCCTCCGTGAGGCCCCCAGGAGGTCCCAAGAGGCCCCCCAGAAGCCCCACGAGGCCCCCAGTAGACCCTGACAGGCTCCAAGAAGCATCCGAGAGGCTTCAGGAAGCCCCAAGACGGGCGCCATGGCGCAGTAACAGTCCCATAAGCTCTCCTGAACGCCGAGCAGGACCCCTTTTGAATTATTGTTTCGACTCACTTCGCGTCCGAAGGTTCCTCCTCCTCCTTCTCCTCCTACCCTCCTCATCGTCTTCCTTCTCCTCGTCCTCTTCCCGTGACCCTTGGACACTCGGCTTATTATCTTCGGGCACCGGATTTGACACTGGTGTCTCAGAACACGTCAGTGTGGAACAATACGTGGTGCGACGCGTGTGGTCCGATCTGTGTGGTGCACTGTTTGTGTCGTACGTTGCCTTGCTTGCCTTTCCGCGCTGCCGCCTCGCTGCATAGCTTTCCCGAGCGCGGTGGCGGATAAGCGCGGCAGCGCAACTGGATAAGATAACGTTCTGGGTTTCGTAAGGCCCCCCAGAGTTCCAATGGGTCCTAGGGACTGTCATGGAATAGGAGAGTGTCGCGGGGTACCTATTAGCAAACTGGTTTCTTACATGTGCCCACGAGGAGGGCAAGAAGGCCTAGGACCAACCAAACAGACCTTTCGGAAACCGAACAAATGCTGTTAGAAAGATAGAAAGAATGGTCAGAAGCCCCAATCGATTTGATGATTTGTTTGGCCTCCCGAGGGTCCGCTTGGCTGTTCCTGGGTGCCCCTGCCCCTCAGGGTGGCCAGCTGACGCCGGGCCTGCAGAAGCAGGGCGAGGACCTCCAGGAGGTTGGCGTTGCCTGGCCGGAACTTCCACGTCTTCTGCAGGGTCACCACCTGCGGGGGGGAAGGCGCGCGCAAATCCACGCGCGCACGATGATCTACTCTTGACGGCGGCGACGGTCAGTGAGTCGTGGGCGGGGAAGGGGAGAGCTTGTAATCCAGGGGCCTGGAATCTGGCTGGAATCGGCGAGCCCAGCCCCCGAAGAAAGAAAAACGGTCCTGGCATCGAAGGGTTCGGTCGGGCATGTCCCCCCACAGGCGGATTATGGACGAGAAATTAGAGATAGTCAAAGACTGCTCCAAAATAGTCAGAAATGGTCAACAAATTGTCCGCAGACTAATTTTGACTATTTTTGACTACTCCTTCTGTAGAGGGGCAGGCCCGACTTAGTCAAAAGGATGGCGCACCTCGGCCGGGGCCTGGCTCTGGCATCCCGGAGGCGATGGGGATCGGCCGCAGTCCTGCCCGGCACCCGCGCACATCGCAATCCTCCCTGGAGAGCGGGAATACGGTGGGGGCCCCTGCCTCTGCCTCCACCTCCTCCTTCCCATCCTCCTCACCCTTCTCCTCCTTATGTGGCTCCTCCCCCCTGCTCGTCCTACCTCGTCGTGGTCAACGTCCTCATCTTCAGGGTCGGCGGCACCGGCCGTAAGGCCTTCGCAATAAGGTGGGGGCATTGGACAAGGAACTCTTAGGTAAGGAATCAAGGGTTTGGAAGCCGGTGGGGCTCCAACCGCGGATCGGCCATGGATATATCACCGTCGCCCTCACGAATGAAGGGATCCTCCGGGGTCTGCAGCCTCCTGGACACATTCCTTCACGAACGTCCCCGCCGTGGGGAGAAGCCACAAAAGACGTGCGCGACCAGCCGTGCACACATGCGCGGGAATCAACTAAAGAAGCCCAGATACACACAAATAAATACACACAATTCCCAGGATTCCCCATCTTTTCCCATATATTCTGGGTGTTCGTCTTCCCCCCCAGTTCCCATATTTTCCCATACTTTCCTGGGAGTCGACGTTTAATTGTGTCTGTGTGTGTGTGTGTGTGTGTGTGTGTGTGTTTTGTCCCCTCCTGATCAACTCTCGACGTCGGCGCTGTCCGCATGTCCGAACCAAAAAACAAGGAGCACAAGGGTTTGGAGGCCCTCTGGGGCCCCAAATCTGGCCGACATCGGCGCTTTCCCTCAGCACGCCGACCACATCATCCCCAAACGGATTTCCATCGATCGAAGTTCTGGCCAGCACCCGCACGAGTGTTCGGCGGTGGACGAACCTCCCTTTAGCAAACCATCCTTTAGTGAAAACGGCCTGGGACCGAAACCGACGGACCTGGACCCGCAGAAACGACGGCCGCGACGCCCTCTCGCGAACCGAAAACGGCCAATTCGCTAATCGACGTGTCAGGGTAGGAGGTTTATCAACCTCATAAATATGGCCCCCCCCCAGTCTGCGAGGCAAACCTCGAGTTACGAACGTTCCCGCAACGCATTCCCTCGCAGCCCACGAACGCTCCTGTACACGCACGTCTTTGCGTTAGCGCCTGAAGGAGGGAGAGGACCTTGACTCCCGACGCCCCGATCTTTTCAGTACTGCAGGTCGCCCACCCCTGGGGCAACCAAAAGGTACTGACGCCGCTTTTCCTTCTCCCCAGACCTCTAGCAGGGTGCGCTCGGACCCGAATCTTGAGGCGAATCCAGCGGTGGCGACGAGGGCCTCCCAGGAGGCCCCCTCGAAAGGGGGAAACCGAGGGAGGGGCAGCAGTAACTGTGGGTGTCTCGTCCTCTTCTGGACCTCCTCGCGCTGCCCCTGCGCTCTCCCGCGCCGTTCCCTCCACCCAAGGCCGCGGGGCGCGCCGCTCGCACACCGCTTTGCCGCGCTCCCGCGGCTGGCCTGGCACGCCGCCGGGGCCCAAAGCCACGCGCGGACCACTCTCTGCGTGGGGAGATGTAATCCTCGGGTTCGGGGGACTCGGGTTGGCCTGTCATGACAGGGGCCATCACGAAAATGACGAGACCCAGTCTGAACTTTGGCGCAACCTCCCGCTGCAGACATCCCACGAGAGCCGGAGCGTCAAAATCCAAGGCGCGCTCGTCCGACAGCGGCGGCAGACCCGAGTGCTGGCACACTCGAGCCTTACGTTGTGCCAGTTTGTCGGTCCCAGGAGGCGGGGCCCGGACGGGTAAGACGAGGCCAGGACGAGGACAACATCGGGTGAGGAGAAGTCGAGAAACCGGCGATCCGGCAATCATCGATCCTCCCACGCTCATTCGAAGATTGACGGAAGACCCCTGGGCAACACGACCCTCAGTGAAGGTTCCCAAGGACGCCCCACATGCGCACGGCACCGATCTGACGAAATGCGCATCGATTAGCAAAACCGAATGGGGGTTGCACCAGCACGCTCGAATTAAGACGAAGCCAAGACGAAGATAAAATCGGGTGAGGAACTTAGTGGGCCCCAGAAGCGGCAAGGCCGTTTTTTTACCGTTGTCGACAACATGTTTTTTTTGGGGGAAAATGGAAACGGTAAAAAACAAAGGCGACCGGAAACAACAATAAAACGGCTCCGCGATTGGAACCCAGAACCGGAACCGGCAACATGGAACCCGCAAGAAAACAAACGGCGGCGGAGTCGGCAACAAAACGGCAAAACGGAACTGGTAAAAAAACGGCCCTGTCGTTTCCAAGGCCCACTAAGGTGAGGATACATTGGGAATCTCTGAGATGCGGCGGCTCTGGAGGATGTCTCGGGCGCCGCCGCCTTCCCAGAGCTTTCCAGGACGCTCTGAGAGCGTTCCGGCCGGTAACCCGCGAGCCTTCGGTGGCCTCGAAACCCTCGCTCGGACTCCGACGCGCCGCTTCTTCGCCACCGAGAGCCGGCCCCCTCCGGTCGCGACCGAAAGGCGGCGCGCCCGAAGTCCGCAGCCGATAAACTTCTGGCTGCGGGCGACCTCGTGGTTGAAGGGGCCCTGAGACACACAAATAAATATACACTAATAAAAATATTCCCATATTTTCCCATATTTTCTGGGTTTCTGTCTTCCCCCCCCACTTCCCATATTTTCCCATATTTTCTGGGGAATCGACGATTAATTGTGTCTGTGTGTTTTTTCCCCTCTTGAGTGGTCTCGGGGCCCCGGCTCGGCACGGCCGACCGCCGTGGCGTGCGGCGGGCACCGGAACTCCTAGAGGGGAGGGGGGGGTCTCGGGGGGCGGGGGGCAGAGTCCGGCACGGGGAGAAGGCGATAGCTCGGGGGGCCCCAGGAAGGTGAGCTTTTTTCATTCGGCGTATCGACATGGGGCGGAAAGGGGGGGGTCGGGCTCCAGACCTCTGCGTAGTGAGACTGTTTGGGACCGTGCGTCCTGCGGTAGGGACTCCGCCTGCTCGAAACAGGCGCCAAAAACAGCCAAGATGTACTCCACGGGGGGGAGAGGGGTGTGTGCGAGGGCCCGCGCCGATCGGCAAAACAATGAATAAAAAAACGATCACAAGCTAGTACTGTATGTTTTCCTGGGGGGCGCGCGTCCGACCCGAACATCTTGTCTACGCACAATGACATGCTGGTGCTGTATGTTTTCCTTGGAGGCGCGCGTCCGAACCGAACATCTAGTATACCTGTCTTGTGGTATTGCCATGTCGTTTCCCAAGCGGTGTGGCCAGAAAGCGCCCGCCACGACGCGCGCGTACTCTAAGACTTCTCGGTGCGCGCGTCGCTGGGGGGACGCCGACCAGACGGTGTGATGACAACACGCCGTGGTGAGCCAGGTGGGGATCCGGGGCCACCGCACGGCTTTGGCACTCGTGCCGTTCCCCCGAGAACGTCTCGGGCGGCTGCGGCCTCCGAGGCCTCTTGGCATCTCGAGGTCGCCGCGCGGTGCGTCACCGCACGCTTTGGGGAGCCCCGGGCCCCAGACCCCCGATCGGGTGCTGCTAGAAGTGCCCCTGGCCCAAGGTACCCCCAGGATTCTCGGGGTGGCCCAGGGGCACTCGTAGCAACACCTTGGCCCAGGGGCACTTGTAGCAACACACGACCCGACGTCATGACTTCTTCATAGCGTCGACCCCCAGGGGGTCTCGACCCACCCCCCGGGGCCGGCTTTTCATCCCGCGCGGCTCTTTGCCTGGACCGGCCTGGACCGAGGCCGGGCGAGGACCCCCGGGGGCCAAGCTGGCCATCGCTCGGACGTCCATTCCCTGTGCTTTTTTGCGGTCTCGTGCGTGGCTTTTTCGCCAAATGATCAAGGATGCTCCTCGATGGTCCTCGCCGAAGGAACAATGCACACGTCCGAGCGATGCCAAGCAAATTTTCTGCGCGACGCGACGGGGGTCTGGGCCACCGCACGGCTTTTGGCACCCCCCGGAGCTCTCTCTGACCACGAGGGGCCCGCCCCCCCCCCAGACGTGCGACGTCCTGGCAGCGTACACCCTGCGAAATGCTTTAGAAATCATGGGTTAAGAAATTAATAGTCTCAGAATTTGAATAAAACCCCCCGACTTCTACTAAAAAGTTAGGTTTTCCATTGAAGCAATAAGAATAATCAAGACTCTGGCCGAAACCTTACGTTTTCTGAAGCATCGCCTAGGGTGTATACCCGGAAGTCCAGACCCGCTCCCCGGGGCCGGTGCTTCATCCCAAATCGTTTCTTGAGGGTCCCGGGGCCCGGCGAGGGCCCCCAAAAGGGCCCAGAGTCACGCAGGACCTGCCGTCCTGCTTTGTTACGACGCGATCCTGTCTGGGCCCGGGGCCGGCGAAGCCTCGGTGCCCCGGCGGCCGGGCAGGAGGGCACCTCCTCTCCGCCCAGGGGCAATAGTCGGCCCGCGGAGGTCTCTCGCAGGAGGAGGTCCGCTGCAGTGCGGGCGGGCGGCCTCCGCTCGCAGCCCCCAAGGAGGGCGAGGACGAGGACGAGGACGGTGACGGTGTTGGTGATGGTGATGATGGTGTTTGTGTTCGTGTTGGTGTTGGTGTTGCTGATGACGGCGACGATGACGACGACGATGCTGATGCTGCTGACGTTGATGGTGCTGCTGCTGCTGCTGATGACGATGACGATGACGATGGCGATGACGATGACGATGACGATGATGATGATGATGATGATGATGATGATGATGATGATGAT